TCTGCTTGCAATCCATGTCCAAACAGAAAAGTTCTCAGTGGTCCTATTTCAGCATATCTCAAGGACTAATTAAATCCTCATTACTATCTTCTAATTATTCCAGTGCTCTGGGATTTCACTGAGCAAGTCCCCAATGGTGCATTAGATGAAAAGGGTTAAATAACCTGTGTTGATTTTGAGGCTCCAGATCTATTTCAGACCTTTAGCATATCATCAGCATTATCATGAATATTTAACTACATACCGCTGTGAAAATTATAAGGGGAAAACAATTAAAGATTTTTTAAAAATTAATTCTGACCCATATACATTTGCACTAATAAATAAGGCTTCTTTAAGTATCCCCATTATGAGAGTGCTTGCCAGAGTAATAACATGAAGTCATTAACTGTTTCCATTAAATTCAATGGTTTTCGGGAGCTCCCAATTCACTATTTTAATATAAGACTGAAACATGATGTGTGCATACGCAAGTATGAAAAATGTTACTTTAAACTGGTACATTTTGGAAGCTTTTTCTAAACTAGGTATGGAACTACTCAGTTCTCCAGGAGTGAAAGTGTCTGTTTCAACACTGTAGTGACATGTTTTCTTCTGTTAGTGTTTACATATATGACTACCAATATGCATCTCCATTGGCCTGCAAACATAGGAGTAGGACTATAAGCTAATGGTCAGGATAGAAGAATTCTTTTTCAGCTAAGAGCTTCAGGAAAAAAACTAGTTCCATGGTGTAATTTAGAAATGCTAGTTTCTACTTTATCCATAGAGATATTTTTTTGGCCCAGAAAGCAGTTTTGGCTTCTGAGCACACTGTCAAACTGCATCTTCCAAAACTCAAACAGATGACGTAGGTTGGTACAGTCAACAACAAGGAACTCAAGAGACTACTTATGAGGGTTGCTCCAAAAGTAAAGCCTCCCATTTTCTTTTGTTGGCCCAGGATGTCAGAAGTGGATGTGGGTGATGTGGCAGTAGAGATTCAACCTTCCCACCAATATTCCATCACATTTTGTTGCTGTGTGACAGATGGCAGTTTCCTGGATTGCATCATTACTGCTGACAATGGTGTCACCACTATAAGCCAGAGTCAAAACAGCATTCCATGGAGTGGTGACATGAATTCCACATCAAAGTAAAAGTTCAAGAAATAGCTTTCAGTGGGTAAAGTGATGAGTGCTGCTTTTTGGGATAGGAAAGGGGTGACTATTCTGGATTTCTTAGAACCTGGACAAACAATCAACTCTCAGTGCTACATCATGAGGCCAACTAAGCTGAAGGCTTAAACTTCCTGAGTCAGGACAGAGAAGGAGATAACCTTTCTCTTGTGATGCAGTAATACCAGATCCTCATGCTAGTTTGAAGGCTGTGGAGCACACTGGCAATATTGGCTGGACTATCCTACCACACCCACCACGTAGTCCAGATATGGCACCTTTTGACTTCCATCTGTTTAGGCTGACGCAAGATAAACTGTGTGGGCAACATTTTCTTAGCAACAATGCCACTACAGCTGTGAAACAGCAGATCACCTCTGCTGGTGCAGATTATTACAAATAGAGCATGCAAGCTCTTGTTTATTGCTGGCAAAAATGCATGGATAATGATAGTGACTACGTTGAAAAATAGTGTTTTGTAACTGAGAACCTGCTATATCAAATAGTGTCCCTGTGCTCTTTGTATCTGTTATCGTTTCCATGGAAATAAATAGGAGGCATTACTTTTGGAGTGACCCACATACTTCAAGAATTCTCCAAGTGGATGGCAGCTGAAGTACCACTGCTTCCTTACCTGTAGGGTCTGTAACTAAAGTTTATAAAGAGCTTCGACTTCAAGAAATTAAAAAAATAAAAACTCTGCTTTTGATCAGATTTTCACGTGTTATGCCTGAGCAATGGTCACTGCTAGGATTCAGAAGCAGTGAAATGCACAAGTAGGTAAGCTGGCATGGCTCACCAGCTTCTCCAAGAGACATCTGACTCCCATCCAGCACATCTTGTTCCCTCTATCTCCACAGCTCTCCAATTCCCAACTGTTAAGTTATACGGGACTTACTTCGACTATCAGTCCATTCAAAGACTTGTGAGCTGAGACATAGGTTATACCAAAAAATATGAAGAATTTCATACTGCCTACATAGATAAGGCATGTTGGTAGAACTGAAAAAGTTTTGTTTACTGGACATCAAATATCAGTGACTGGAAACTGCTATTGTCATGAGAAGTGGGATTCCTATAGCAGCATGTTCCAGATCAAAATGTACTAGATAAACATGAAAAAAACTAAAAAATTAAAAATAAAAAAAAAATTATATGTAAGTATTTTTATGCTATCGTTATGAAAAGCATGCAAGCTATATAAGAAATAAATGAAAGAGAACAGAAAATCCAGTCCAGAGTCCCAGGAAATTCTTATTACTATACATACATACGGATGTTACCGCTCTTCCTCCTCCTCTCACACAGAATGCACATGTAAAAATACATTCACTGATTCATACTGCACTGTATGACAGGGATGTATAGCCTTAGGCAGGCAAACATAAAAGATCCCAGCTAGGTGCTGAGTAACCATAGAAAGTAGGACAAAATATAATCAAACACTTAAATAATAAAATAAAGGTGTGTAAACCTAATGGTTCAAAGTAGTGGTTTAACATCCAGAAGTGCTACAGCTCAGACTCCACCTGATAATCAAATTTCACAATAGCCGATAAATAAGATAAGTGTTGAGAGCAAAGGATTCTATTCAGGAAACGATTAGCAGCCTGCTCATTCAGTTATCTCTCTAAATAAGGAAAGAAATGTTATACAAAGTACTAAACCAAATGACTTTACCTTATCATATGGAGGGTCTCTAGGCTTTTTGTTTTCATTTTCTTTTCTTTTCTTTTTTTGGTAGAAAGTGTATCAGTAAGCCACGAGTTTAAATTACTGTAACAGATGCCTATGGATCAGATGTCCTTAGCAGAAACGATTTTCTGCTCAGGTTTTTATCAGTAAATGACAAGCACCTTTCCTTTGAGTCTCCATCACTCCCCCTCCTTCCTTTCTTCAAGTTCAGTGGAAACCAGTTCAAGCAAGCAAAAGAATCAACTAATGTAACAGCCTTTTTAAAAGGTGAAGTTTTCCATTTCAAAGGAGCCTCTAATCAATGACAGGGCGCAAAAGGGAATGCACGCATGTTTATGCGCGTGCAGCACAGACTTAGAGAAAGAAGCTTTGGGGAACACGTTCTGCAAAATCAATATGACCTAGCTAGTTACAAATTTCATATCTTTTACATGAAACAAATAGATTTCTTGTACAAGCTGGGTCACAAGGATTGTGTGTATTACACCAGATTTTAATATGAAAGGTGCAAAAATTGTATTAACATTCCTAAATAATTTAATCTAAGAACATACCCAGAATCTTTCCCCTCAAAAGATTGATACAAGACTGTATCAACTTGTAAATTTTATTTTCCCTCACTGTTATTTACTTGATTGACTTCCCAGTTATGGTAGCTATCTTCTCTGTCTTCTCTAACCGTATAACCAACACCCAGTTTTGTCCTGTAACAGCAATCAAAAGGTTTAGCCAAACTTTACAGCTTTGTCAGATACACCTAGCTCATTCCCCCAAAGCCAGGTGAAGAACACAACACTGCTCCTCGCTATTACTGAGCAGCATCACATTTTGTGCCAAGACCCAATCGTGCCAAGAAATGCGTGCATCTTTCTGAAGTGTTTGGGTCTTCAAAGCCTCAAGCTGATCCACTCCCACTGTCTTGTGACATTCTGTCCTACAAAACATAACACATTTGCATCGAGTACTGAGGTCATTCTATTTCCACAAAGCATACACGTTACTCTAAAACAATTTTAAAGGGAAAATCGGTTCCTGCACTAATAACTGTGTATGGAGAATGACCTGAAAATGAAATAGAACAAACAAACTGAGTGTGGAATTTTCTATTTAATGTTCTCATTTATCAGCATTCCTGGAGGAGGTAACATCCAGCACAGAAAAACAGCAGAAATCAGGACTCTTTCCTCCTCTTTGTGAATCCTCTTAGTTTTTTCTGGATGCTGTCCCAGAAATTTGTCATTCTGTGAGTTCAACTTGTTTCACTGTGAGAAAACTTCCAGTATTTATGGTATCCCCATATGGTGCTACTTGGAATATTTCTGGTAGCAAGACATTTTAGGAGGGGCATTTCATAAATAACTCCATGTTTATCACAGTTATCATGTGTCTGTTTTGCAAGCTTGCTGCTGGCACATGTTAACCACTGCATGGACGGGGTGCCCAGTTTACAGCAGTTAATCATATGGCCACGCGAAAAAGCTGTGATAATTCTCTTTTCATAAGCTAGGAAGGAAGGAGGTGAAAGGAAAAAAGTTTGAAGTTTATAAACAGTAATATTAAGAGAAAATAACCCTCTGTTTATTTTGGTGAGCACTTGCTAGGAAGTTATGTTTCAGAACAGTGCTGTTGCCTGCAAGGTTTTTCTTTGGAAATTCCACACCTTTGAGCCATTCGACCTAAATAGCTGATTTCCCTTTACACTTAAAGATATTTTTATTTCCAGAACTGGCCTAGAGGACAAGCTATCATGTCCATGCAAAGACGTTAGAGAATTGTAAGAACAGGATCAAACCACAGTGCTTGCAGCTACTACTATTTCTACAATACTTTCCATAGATCTCAATTCCAAGACAGACAACAAAAAGGTGAATTTTCTAGAACATAAATCAAGCATCTACAGCAAACTGTTTTTATACTTGTAAGAATTCACTGTATTTTAAGAAAGCCCCGTTTCCAATTATGTTTTGGTAAAACCTGATATTCAATTGCTCTTTGCACATAAAAGAAAACACTCAGGCAATAAGGACTGTCATTATTTTCTTTGGGAAAAGGAACATAAATACCAGCAAATCTCACATTGTTAATGCACAACTTGAAATGAAGGCTACATTTGACACCAGCATAAAAAGACCCAAACACCTAACAAACCTCGGTCCTGTGGCATTGGTGACTGGCTCAAAGCAGGGTGGGAGCTGGATTCTGACTGGCTGCCAGGAGGCTGTGGTGGCATCTGACTGCCTGTAACACACAGAGAAAAAAAAAGGGAAAACAGACTTGCTTTTAACATTACAGTGCACAAAACGAAGCCTTGCTGCATTTTTGAACCACTCAACAACAAAGAAAGTACCAGCTGTATAAGTCAAAGACAGAGTCCTACAGGTCTGGCTTTTTTCAGGATACTTTAGAAACCCGAGGAGGAAACACGCATAAACATATTTAGCAACAGGCATGGTGAAATGTACAATTTTGCATTGAGCAAGTTCCCAACCTCACTGACATGATCCAATTTATAGCTGCAAATCTCCTGACACTTATTTCTGTTAGAGAGTTTAAGAAAATTCAAGTCTGCTGAACAATAGGGCCCATCCTGCCGAGCTTAAACTGGCCTCCTGCCAGGCAGACATGGCCTGCCGCCAACAATATTACCAACCAAAACTTCAGTCAATACAAAAATGACTAACAACAACAGTTTAAAAAGTATTTCAATGAATCAGTGGTTTTAATATTATTTGACTGTCCATGTAGAACTTGGGAATAAAGAGTAATGCGCAGATGTATATAGTAAACGTGAAGCATATTTGAAAGGGATCAGACAGAAAAGGGGTGTCTTATTATTCAAGTAAAGGCAAAAGAAAGATATTAGCTTGCTGAAATATCCACCCAGAACAGACAGACTCATTTCTACGGCCTTGTTCAGAAGACACACACATGTCCATCCACCCACAGAGGAAAAATGGCACCCACAATGCTGTCTGTGAGGTGTAGGACACTAAATCTCCCCTTTCAATAGGCTACGTGATGCTTAATGCCGGTGCTCATTGCACTGGTTAAAGAGATCAGAGAGTCACATCTCTGGGTCTCCATCCAACCCTGCATCTGTCCTTCCACCCTAACAGTGCTACCATGCCCAGCATCCAGCCTGCTGCAGCCTGGGCAGGGGGAGGACTGGGGCAGGACGGCTTCTGGACTCCTGCTTTGAGATGTGGCTGCTTTCAATAGCCAAAGGCACTTGAAGACCACCTCAGGTTAGGCAACAAATATATATTTTAAGCACTTAGCCACTGCAGTGACGAGCATGTTATAAATAGCAGCAGACAGATTTATATCCCTCATCCTCAGAAACTGCTCAGATTGTTTTCCGTTTAAAAGAAATGGAAAGAATAAAAACACATGAAATAGATTTGTGCCTGCTGAGAATCATTTCCTCGTGCTTAGCAGCCACCCTTTTTTAATGGCTGAGGCGAGGTTCCTGTGGTTATTTCTGGAGCTGGAAGCCCAGCTCAAGAAGAGCCAGCAGGGGTTGCTCTTTCTTTAGAGCTAAGAAGGCCGGAAGCTGGAAGTGAACTGAGGAAAGGGGCAGTGCCTGCCCTACCCCGCTTGCTTCCCAGAGTCATGGCCACCACCTATGGCCAAAAATTGACACCAAAAAAAAAAAGAGAGAAGCGTAATAAACAAAAGGAAAACCCATGAAATGTGATTGTGTAACCAGTGCCAGCTGATGTGTCTGTGCACCGACAAATGCACGACTGCGGCCATGCCTGCGGCACCACTACCAGGCAGCATGCTACAAGAAATCTCAACTGCTTTTGTCATCGTTTTTCCCAAGAACCATTGAAGACTTTTAAAATACTTAATGCTATTGGTAGATGCAGAGGTACTCCTGACTGCACCCCACAATCCCAGTAGGATCCTGTCTGATGGTGGCTTGGCCAAGCTTAGGAGGCATTAATATAATGCAGAAGATATATACTAGGCAACATACTCCAAATACATTTATAGCAGGTGTTCAATTTTTTACGTTGGTATTAAGTTCAATTACCTGGCAGGAGCCCCATCCTACACATGCAGATGTGCAAGCACAGACAGGGAAAGTCAAGCTCTAGAGCTGAGCACATACGACACGTTACAGAGAAATCATCTCCATCTGCAATCTTGGAAATACACATTCTACAAATTCAGTGGAATTCTCTACAACCTCTGTAAATATTCATGCTCTTTTTCAGTTCACTTTTTAAAGCTTGCATTCTGATCTTGGAGTTTTTTTTTTTTTTTTTTAATTGAAAGAAACCGGAGGCCTAAGATTTTATTTCACAAAAGAAAACAATTTCATAAACAAGACAATCACCTCCACATATACTCTAAGAAGGAATTAACATGCAACACAAGTGGCCATTATGCTAATGATCACGGGGTGCTACAAATTATCCAGATTCTGGACATGCCAAGTATTGCACAAAAATATTTTCAGAAAACCTGCCGTTTTATCCTTAGAAGTGATGTGAAAGGTAAAAGGATGTTAAGCACCTAAATACCTTTGAAGGCTTGAACTGAACTCTTAATTTGGGTATCTAACTCCTATTGATTGGAAGAGGATGACAGGACTTTGAAGATCCTGTCCGCCACGCTTTTTAAGTTTCTTTGTCAAGAAAAGAAATGACCTTAAAGATTTTTCATTTCTTTCCTTTAAATGATATTAATCCTCCTCCCTTTCAACCAGTATTGTAGTTGGTATCCTTGGAAGTCGCTTTAAATAATACATGAACAGACTTCTGTATTTTATTTGGGAAGGAAAACTTCTACAAAAAAAAAAAAAACAAAAAACAAAAAACAAACCAAAAAAACAATCTCTTTTCTTTTTAAACATGAATTCTACAGCTTTTTAAGACAATTAAAAAACAATACATTTTTTTCCACTGACAGGCTACTGCCTCCTTTGACCCCATGACACACAGATGGAAGTTTAAACAGGAATGACCTTTTCCCATTTTTTGTATAGCATTGTTGGCACATTGGTGAGATAATGTACCTGCTAAGACTTACACAAGGCGAGCACCACAGATATTTCACAGTATTTCCATTATGCAAGATCACAGCAAATGCATGTTAAAATGATACGTAATGCCATACTTGTTCATTTACCTAGATTTAACATACGACTAAATTATTTCAGAATGTATAGTTATCTTAAAATTAGTTATTAAAACAGATACGTTTTTTTAAACAAAGTCAGTTAAAGAAGTGAGAGAATCTAAACTACTAAATAACTTAGCTGTAAGCTTTATTCCTATTCTTGAAATTACATTAGAAATGCCTTTAAACATTTTGTATGAGACTTTTAAAATCTATGCTTGAAATAAAAGAGACTTCATTGTGCTTCTGGAAAAAGGTGATCTATGAAAAGTACTAAATGGTGATTGCATTATGACTATAGCCATGAAATCTGCAGTTGAAGTGTAAAAAGTAAATTCCTTAGAGCCAACATAGCAAGAAAGAGCAGACCTTTGATATCCTGCTGAGGAGGGGTCCTTGTGATGAATTACTGCCCAAATCAGTAACGTTTTGAAACATGCTGAGGGCTCTCTGCTTCCATCAATGTAATGACACTGGAGGATGCTCAGCAGCAGTACTCTGTACTGCTCTGGACAATACCTCACGGAATTGCGCCTGAACAATTGAATCAAGAAAGCACTTCAGTGATAACAGGTTCCCCCTGGGAAATTACTGGTTAAGGAGGAAAGGATGGATATCAGTACAGGAATTTCAAGATGCATGAGGAAATGGGGATCAGGGGGACAGATCACAGAAACAGACTGTGCTGAAAGGGGAACAACAGGCTCGGGCTGCAGGAAAGTCAGTAGTTAAAGGTCTTGTGGGCTGTCTTTGGGCCAATTCTCAATCTAATTTAGGAATTAAGCCCTAGAACTGTATTAATGACATTGGTTAACTACAAAATAGGCAAGTACGGTCAATGCAACAGATGGTCAAAATACTACCTAGGAAACTGGAACAAGTTTAATGTTGGAGTAACAAAAACGCAAAAATCTGTACTTACAGATAAGAAAGAGGCACTTTCTAATTGAAAAGCTATAGGATTATCAATTAGAAATTGGGAAAGGCAAATCGGAAAAACTGAGCATATTTGTTGATGATTACAACTAAACACTTACTGTGACCCTGAATCAAACAAATATATTACTAGGATGAATTAAGGGAATTATTTCTAGCAAAGGTAAGGAAACTGATGTGCTACTAATGAGCCTTCAAGCACATAAAACTTGGACTAGAGGATCTTGGAGTCCTTTTCCAACTCTGGTGATTCTATGAAAACCAAAAAGGCCCAACGCTAACTGGAATGGGAACTGAGAATGTCTATGTGCATGACAGGAGACCAAAGGCATGCATATTATTTAGCATGACAAAAAGTAAAGCTCCAATTTTGTGACTTTGTTTCAAAAATATATCTGTGGCCAAATATCAAGGAGGAAGAAGAGCACAGTGTTTAGGATGATAATCAGACCATTATTGGAATTTGAAACAACTTCCTCTTAGGAATAATGAGGTCCAGGAAACCTAGTGAGTACTAAGATGAAATCTGATAAAATAATGGGATTATATCACAGTTAATGTGACAGTAGAGGCCCACAGGCCGGAAAGGACACTTGGTTTCAGATCCCTACATCAGATCATAAATAGGCTTCTGTATGGGATTGTTTTAAATGGGCTTTTCAGGAAATTGGAAGTGAGGTGCAAATGACCCCAAAGGAACGAAGTTCTTCTATGGGCAGCATAAAGGCAGGCTGGTCATGTGGTTTGTGTTATCTCTTTCATCTTACAAAGCCTATGACCCTTAAAAAAGAAAGATTATTTTCTTCCAGAAATTTATACATTGTAACCAAGCTTTCTGTTGTACCAGTAGTATTTTTAAAGCAACTTACTCATCTGAATAATAAACAACGGTTGTCTGAATATCCCTCAAATTAAGATTCACAAAACATTAATACTCTCCTCATTTTCATATGGTAAGAGATACTTCAGAAAGCCAGCAGCACGGGAAACCATTCAGATTTCCAGGCCCATACTCTGGCTACCCAAACTGCTGGGGCATTGCTGACCACCTCAGCGTGCAATGCAGGCACCTGTGCCTGAACCAGGCCTCCTGGCCCCGCTCAGTACCACACTGCAGCTAACAGCCCTTGCAAGCAACAGCAGCTCTGGCAATTCTCTGCTGCCTTCTCACT